TATTGTCGATATTGTATTTTGAATTCATATTGCATTTGGTTTATGCGGTTTTTGCTGTAACTTGATATATGTCGTACGTTTCATTGGAACAGTTCCGCCTGTATCACCATGTCAGGCTAAATTAAGTTAGACTCGGATAAGACGATGGCTAACGCAAAAAAAATTTTTTTATTTAAACAAAAAAAAAAAAGACTACGATTTTGACCAATCAAAATTCAAGGTCGGCTGATCTTGAATTTTGATTGGTCAAAATGTTGTGGGGTCAAATATTTACTTACAGGTTTTTACAATCATCTAATCGTGCTACATTACACCAGATCATGATTTGATATTGGCTGGGTTATGATCTATAAAATTTACTATATCTTACATTATTGACCACTTTGATCAACACTGCTATCGCTATAGATTATCTCTCTTATCAGTGGAATTTCATGCTTGAATTAGAATCTACCTGAAGTTGCAAATTACTAATTGATGCATAATTTTGAAGATTAACTTCACTCAGGCAGGTGGTTTTTGGGTTAAGGAAAAATTTTCAGGTCAAGTGTCAAAAGAAAACTCGCACTTAGGTTGCTAATAGAGATTTTAGACTATAATTCAAGCCGGTTTAAAGTCGGAGTGGCTTATATAAGTTGCAGTTTATTAAAAATCTTATCCGCTTTAAATGCATGCATCTCATTCCGGCATCGCCAAATATATGCCATTGGCATATGCCCTTCGATCTATTATAGCCTGTCTTTTACACGAGTTGTTTCTTTCGACTACTGTAATAGTGTTTGTTACACTCACTGATTGGCAAATTTCTTTGTATCATTCGCAAAAATGCTGCAAATACTGGTGACTATACTAAAAGAGATCTGATATAGACATTTTCAGAAAACGAAGTGTTTTTCTTTTTCTATATAATTTAATAAATTATAAAGTATATTAATTTAAAGATGTTGTTACATGCGTATTCTATAAATCCATAATTGTTAATTTAATTACAAAATATTTTTTTGACCTACTGTATTGCGTTATCTTGTAACAATTCCGCAATTTAAGCAATTGAGTTCGTTAATAGTATTTTAAAGAAACAACAATCCATTTAATGATTTGATTAGTACACAAGATTAAGTCGGATAACACTAATACGTATTGTATTATGAAGACACTTTAAGTTCATTCTCGTTTCATGTAATGCATCGATTGTCGAACCCTTTGAAATACTGGAATAAATTTGCCATAATAAGTTAAAATATAAATATTAGCATCCAAGAGGTAGACCTATTAGCTTTTGATAAACGTAGTACAGTACTAAATACGATTAATACAATACGTATCAATATAAATTCACTAAATACAATCAAATCTCTTTTTCCAATGCTATTAATCGATTCTTTAAAAAAAAAAACAATAGAAGATTAATATTATCCTATTTTGTTCATTTTATGCTTACGTAGCAATTATCTGTTAATATTATGTACCGTTTTAGAAGTTGCATGTGATTTAGACATTTATACGAGATAGACCTGATTTAGAAATAAAGTGGCATATTAATCGAGATACGCTAATCCCAATGTTGTACACGAGACAGTTAAGGCAAGTAAAAAATGTCGATGACCTTTCAATTCTGCGTAAACTTTAACTTACAGATTTCATTTGACGGGACAAGTCGGGAAAGAATGGGACGTACAAGGTCAAAAAAGTTTGAGACAGTTGTGTACAACAATGAAAAACTTTTGGAAATACACCAAATTATTTCTAGACAGGGTATTTCAATTTAAGAATGCAAACACTACATATTGATATATGCACATGTATCAAAATGGTGTTTTATAATACGATGCGCGGCCTAGATTTTTTTTTTTTTCATGTATTGTTCGATCTATTTTTTTATACGGACAACATTTAAAAATATAAATAATGATCTCAAACTTGTTCTCAACCCTTCTCTTCCAAAATTTCAGTTTTCCGTTTTTTGATCTAAAATTGCATTATAATCCAACTTTAATCTCAATCTTTTTTTTTTTTTTAATCTGCTAAACTTAACATGCCTCCTCTCGAACCTTTTCCTATCCACTCATCAGTGGTGCCTAGTGACGAGATTTGTGTTGAAGAAGGAACGAAACCTTTAATCTATAAGATAAAATCAGACGATGGTCTTGTTTTTTTAAAAGATTCAGTTCCTTTGATCACAGAAATAAAGAAAAACATTCCTGCAAAATACTTTAGTCCTTCAGTTAAAAAGTCGCTTAAATATGTTGCACGGGATTTAATAATTATTGCTATCACATTTGCTACTTATCTTATACTTGACTCCATCGGATCTATTCCATCAATCG